TATTTGGTCCGGACTGTCAGCCATGAAGCTCCGCTCTGTCCGCACTTCTTCCAGAACTCGTTGGAGATGTCGTCTATAAATCTGTCGCCTTGCCGTTCTTAGTTTTCGTTATGGCGGTACAAACTTCTTCCTCAATAAATTTCGACACGGGTCCAAGCACTGATTCAGCTGCGGCACTAGATGCACATTTATGTCTGGTGGACGCCAGCTCTGCAAAATGCAAACACCATCGTTCTTTCATCTGTTTTGGTTTACTCAGCATTTTTTCCACTTACATCCTTCGCAAAAAGTGATCTACGTTTTTCGTCGCGTGTGCTGTTTCGACTTCATGACTGTTTAGTTCCCCGTACAGCATCGTCATATATGCTTCTTTCGCGTCTTTGGCAGTTCTCTTTGCTGCAGGGTTAGCGCTCAAATATGTTGATGAGCACTTTTTGACCTCGTATTTTGCCACCTTCTGTGAGTTACCTTCTATTCTTTATTATATTCTGCACCAAATCAACCCACCACCATGTTTCTTTGTTGATTTTTAATCATCCTGGTTTTGTACGTACTAGGAGCTCTCCAGCTATCTGGTGGACATTGCTCTTCAGATTGGTCCAGGAGTGTTTCGGATCTACCTGTAGTTCCGGTAGGGCAGATTTCATGGCCATTTTAGCGTCGAGGTCGTTTTAGAGTTTCTACCATTTGATACATACTCTAGAATTCGTCGTTGGCTTCCTTCGCCTTTCGAGTGGTATATTTAGATCTATCAGCAAAGGCTTATGCTGAGGTATGCGATTCTCGGCCGAGATGATTTTGCTGTCTTTTACATATTTGAGCTCATTTTGTCTTACTGCTCAAAAGTCTATCTGCGAATTTTTGCCTCCACTGAACGCGTCATCAGGTAACTGCTTCTCTTTTCAAAGCAAGTCCTTACTGATACCAACTCTGAGTCCTAGCAAACTCGAGAACGTGTTCGCCTTCGCTATTGCGTAATCCATATCCGTGGTTTTCGTGACACTTTCCTGAACCACTTCGTTGCTGCCCAACATGGCCGTTGGAATCGGCTCCAATTAGCAATGCACCTTCAGGAGGAAAAGACTGATGTATTCGTCAAGTTCTTGCCAAAATGCATTTTTTTTTGAACCTCGCCACATGCTGTTTGTGGTGCATAGGCAGTAATTATCGCAAAGTCCGTTTTCCATTTTTCTATCTCGACAGTCATAATTCGGTCACTCACTCAATCCACGTCAGCTATTCTGTTCCTCAGCACTTCGGAGACGATTTTCCCAATGCCTTTCCTGCTGTGGCTTGTTCCATTGTATAGGAGTTTGTATCCATCTCCAATATCGCTCAATTTTTTACCTTTCCATTTCGTCTCCTAGACAAAAGCATTGTCCAGTCAACGTCATTCCAGAAGATCCGTTAGTTTTCGGTATCGTGTCGTTAGAGGACCCACGTTCTCAAATAATCGCCGGGGGAAAGCGACCATGCGATTTCTGGGCAAGCCAGCGGAAAAAAATAGTTCGCTGATTTCAGCGGTCCCCGATTCGCGGTTGTGATCCGTGTAGAGAAATTTGGAAGAATGTTGACTAACTTTTGGACGAATGTTCGGAGAACAATCGCAGTTTTTTATGGATTAGCTGGCGCAATGGCCGCATTCTCGCGAACTATCCGCGAGAATATGCATGATTATCAAAGGCCGCGCGGTCTTTTGTGGAGGATCTTACAGCTCGTAGGTATCTTCCGCTGAGAGAAAGGATCCCAAACTCGGGTAATTAAACCATCGATAATACCCTGCCAGATAGAGTCTCACCTTTGCTCGGCGTAAGGCAAAAACTACATAAAATAGCTCGAGCGCTTGCTGAATGTTTGGCCAATTTGAGGAGCGCTCGCTCCTATGTTGGTACCCGCTTGCCGAACATGCGACAGTAAAAATACCGCTTGCTGGAGGTTTGGCCACAGCCCAAAAAAATCTGCCGACCGCTTGCAAGAAAGCGCGAGTTTGCGGAACGCCTGCACCCTGCGATTATCTGAGCGTGCGATGATAAACGGTCTCATCTAACAAGGAAATGGTCAGAAGTCGAAGCGGCCAATCTAAACAAGCTGCACACCATTCGATGCAGCATAAAATGCTAATTGCAAATCTATCTTCCATATCTGCAGAGCGCCCTTGTAGGCGAAATTGTGAGCAACTTTGTGCAAAAAAACTATATACAAGAATTGCGAAATTAGGCACATTATTGCTCTTTCAGCTCACCTCTAGGTACGGGTCATATGAAGTAACTTAATTGCGTGTCTTAATCCAACACTGAGCCGAGAATGACTTTGTACGGCCAAGTTTGCACTTTACATGTACAATTTCTTAGCAAAATGATGGCTTATCATTTCGTCTACAGAAGCGCTCTGCAGATAAAGAAGACAGATTTAGAGTGCTATTTCACGCTGCATCTAAAGGTATGCGGCTTGTATGGACTGGCCACTTCGACTTCTGACCATTCCCTTGTGAGAGATGGCGTTCGGTTATCTCACGGTCCAGCTGAGACATGATAACAAACTCTCCGCCTTTATCGTTAGTAGAAATGCGAATGAGCTAAGTCCAAGCGCTAAGGCTGGGTTTATACTGATTCCCTGTTCCGGAATGTTCCCGCACAGTTTCCGCACTGTGCTGGAACTGTTCCGTTATGTGCTGAATGCGCTGCAAAGCCTCACACGTTTCAAACGGCGAAAGTTGGAGAAATGTGACCGTTTTCAACGGTTTTTCTTCCAGATTCCTCTCGTTTTGACCTTATTCCTCTAGCTCGCTTCCCTTAATCAGCAGAACTCTGGACTTGAAACGGAGTTGAAGAGTAAGCGCTTTTTTGCTCTGCATATCCGACAAATGTCTGTTCTTGCCCTTATTCATTCTCTCTTCGTTATTTTTGCTGACACTACTCAACTTCCTAAACTTTTTGCAGGAAGCCTCTGCGTAGTTTTCACAGCCACCTGCCATAAATTAGGGCGTGCGAGCAATTCTTTTGCATAAATTGGGACTTTTTTCTTGTTTCTCTTGATTATGGGCATTCTCAGCTCTTTTCCTTTTCCACATCGTTGCTTCTCCGTTCTTTCTTCTACCCCGCTTCTCCATGTAGTGAGAAAAGCTGCTGTGAACTCAAGGCGGGTTGAGGGTTGAACGCTGTTTTGCTCCATGTATCCGGGATGGGCCGTCGTGCGCTCGTTTATTATTTCTTCGCTATCTTGTTCAGACCACTACACATTTTGTCGCATATGCAGAGCAAAAAAACCGCTTGTGTTTCAACCCCGCTTCAACTGTAAAGTTCTGCTGATCTAACAGGGAAGCAGGGTAAAGGAGTAAGGTCAAAATGAGAGGAATCTGGAAGAAAACCCGTTGGAAACGGTCAAAATACTCCAACTCTCGCCGCTCACGTACGAAGCGTTTGCAGCGTATTCAGCACAGTTTCGGAACAGTTCCAGCACAATGCGTGAAGTATGCGGGAACAATTCCGAAACACGGGAATCAATATGAACCCAACCTAAAAAGCTTCAGCTTTACGGCCTAACTTCGCGTCAGCTCAAAACATCGGCGCGAGCACATACCGTGATGTGGTTGGATCCCTGCAACATCTGAGGGAAGAACTTCGAGTGAAGTTGAGATCTGAAGAGTAGTTACAGCAAATCAACGTGTTGAGAGAAGCCCGCCTGTTCCCTTCCCATCATGTTTTTACAGGAAACCTGTATCTTGCCACACCGAAGACGTTAAATTTCGGATTCTTTGTTGAGACACTCTTAAAGGCAGTAAGGCGGCAAAACTCAACAACTCAGGATTTCAACGCGGAGGGTTCCTTATCGCCCAAGTTTGAAAACAGTGCAATCCCGGTAGCACAGCATGCCACCTCTGTCGAGAAAATTGTTCTCAAACTTGCACGCGCAGACTAATCTTACACGCATCCGGATCCGCATCAGGCTGCCCGCCGTAATGCTATAACTAGGGTAGAGGACTATATGTTTCCGAAAAGGTACCCGCGGTTATTTGCAACAAATACGCACCCTTGTACATGCGCGAACATGCGTTTCTGCAAGATCCGTGCGGGACTCTTTCACACTCGGAGAGGCACATGACACATATCCATAGCCTATCACATATCCACTGTGATAGGCTCGCACGCATACAGTTGCCTTTTCAATTATGAAGTAGTGTGCCGTCGGCATATGCCTTTTTATTTGATCTCAGCAAGTCAGCCAAACGTTTGATATGCCCGTGTTAAGTGCGAGGTGTAATGCAATCTCCACAGGTGTGTGAGGTAAGCAAGCGATAAGCGTTAACGCGATAAACGATGGCCGAACCGCCTAATTGCGGCGATCCATTGTGAAAACGTCGCTTGAGGTATACCTGTTTAACAAGATAAGGATACTTGGTCGAAGTAGCATTTTATATGAAAAGCACATCGTCTTATAGAGCATGGAACGCTGAGTTCAAACTTCTGGGAGCGGAGTTATGGAAATTTTTTGATGCAAAAATTTAGAAGCTCCGCTACAATAAAATCATTCAGGACCTTAGTCCGTGAGCTCAAAAGGGACCATACTACTACCAGGACGTTTCATGGAATAAAGACCTTGAATCTAATCTAAAGAAAATATGTTAGTCACTACTCCTTTCAAGCGTCAGAAAGACCTTAACATCCTATTTTTACCTCAGCCGAATTACTGAATTTTTACTCAAAATTTTCCAAAAAACCCCTCCCAGAAGCGCTTTGCAGATACCGAACAGGTTCGGAATTAGCGTTGAATGTTCCTTGAAATAGCATCCATTTCTTATGGAAACGCCACTTCAACCAAGTATCCTTCCCTTGTAAGACCAAGTCTACAGTTGAAATGAAAATTGCTTAGATCAAAATATGTTTTAGCCATTACACAACTACTATATTTGCGCTGTGTAAAGATCTTCAAGAACAAGTTTGGAACTCTTGCATTTTATTCGTTTTCAATATCTTCAATATAATCACCAAAACCATAGCAAATTAATATGTTAATACCTGTCCACTGTAAGCCTTCATGTTAACTTTCTTCAAAGCAACCTCTCCGGTGTTTTCCCATACTTTACTTACAGAATCTACCAGTAGAGCTGGTTCAACTGCTTCTGTAGACTTTTCGTGCCATGAATCGTGGTAGGATTCGATAATATCGGGAGCCTTAACTCTCTTAGTGATCAAAATAATTGCAAAAGAAACTTACATAAACTCACTGTTTTCACATCTGCAAGAAATTTGCGATAACAGAGGGCAGTAGGTGCATGCGACATATAATCCAGAAGCACTGCCAATGAGATAAATATAGCTATATCGAAAACCATGATTATCAGGGATGTTCCCACATTAATAACATCTTCGTAAGCAAATAAATTGGCAAAAATATTTTCAACTCCTAAAACGGTAGCAACGCGTATTATGATGGCAAATGCTTAATAATTAGTCAGGAAAAGTTTTGCCTTTGTGTTTATTGTCAGTGCTAGTTGAAATGCATTAATAGTTACGTCTGATGTTTCTGATATGATTAATTGAGTCGATAGAGGGACAAAAATGCTTTTAGGAAGTGGTACGTTTAAGTTGTTCGGTAAGGAGGTTCCGACGGTGACTATCCTTGTACAAGTTGTTCATCTACAAAAGTTATAAATTTTTTATGTTCAAAACTTGGAAATCTCCAGAAATCACTAGGTACACCCTTCACCCAGACACTTTTTTGGACGCTCTTAAACATACTATATATTCTCTAAATGCGGAGGACGAGGCGATTTTGATGGCGGTTTTTCCTTGTACAAGTTGTTTATCTGCAGAAGTTACGGATTTTCTTATCCTAAAAACTCGTAAATGTCCAAAAATCACCACCACACCCTTCACCAAGCACTTTTTTCAACAGACTCCAGGCAATCTATAGATCCCTTGAAAAGAGATATCAAAAACATTTCCTTGCTGACGTTGCTATTCATTTACAGAAGTTACGAATTTTTCCCTTTAGAAAAATCATAGATGCTTAAATTGTCTAACATTGTTTTTGTCTTACATTTGTACTTCTGTGGGCTAGTAGTACACGACTATCTATGAAGGGACAGCACAGCATCGCTTCAGCAAAAACATGAAATTCTTCGTTTTTTTCCTTTCTAATCATGGGAAAAATAGGGCAACAACGTATGTAAATGTTTTATATGGACAGTGTTTACGCGAACAAGTTAGAATTTTTGTATGATTTTTTCCCAATTTTCCGGCAGTTCAATCTCTTTAGTTATCGCCTTGAAACTCCAAAGCTGGTGCATAAGCGAGGTAGCCATTTTGTAAAGCTTAGTTTGCTCTATCGAAGGGTACTGCAACCCATCTAGAAACAAAAAGCTTATGATTTATTGTGATTGAAAACCAGAACGGACGGAACTTTTGGGACAACCTGATATATTAGGTTGGCACGAAAGTTCTGTCGCACCATTTTCAAAAGTTCATAACTTCTGATTTTCGAGCCGATTTGACTGCATTCATTTTTTATGAAAGTGTAGGTCATGCTCTTTATAATAACATCTTAGCTGCTTGTTAGTGATCATCTGCTGTATAGATAGGAGCGATCGAAGAAAATTAGTCAAAATTCGAATTTTCTGTGTAAGGTCATAAGAAATTGAAAACATGCAACAAAAATCGGAGCAGTCGGTATTGTAGGTTCTTTCACCAGCGCTTTCTAAAAGTGCAAAGTTTGCACCGATTGAGCGTCTCTATGAAGAGTTACGATTTTCCTGAAAAATGCCAAAATAAATCAAATTCGCCCTTGTGTATTGCTTGCTCAAAAATCGTAACTTTTCATGGAGACGCTCAATTGGCGCAAGCTTTGCAATGTTAGATAGAGCTGGTGAAAGAACTTACAATATTGACTGCTCCGTTTTTGTTGCAAGTTTTCAATTTTTTATGACCGTACACAGAAAATTCGAATTTTGACTAATTTTTTTTCGATCGCTCCTATCTATGCTACAGATGGCCATTAGTAAGCAGCTAAGATGTCTTTATAAAGAGCATGACTTACTCTTTCATACAAAAATGAAAGCAGTCAAATCAACTGGAAAAATCAGAAGTTATGAATTTCTGAATGTGGTGCGACAGAACTTTCGTGCCAACCTAATATTAGGTGGGTTCGAAAGTTCTGTCGTTTTATTTTCAAAAATCTGTAACCTCGCAAAATTTCAACGAATTTGCTTGCTTTCAATTTTGTTAGAAAGAATAGGTCTTTCGCTTTCAAACGCTGTTTTGTAGCTTCTGCTCCGCACTGAATGCGGAGATAAAAATGGATAAGTAAGAATTTATAAGCTTTGACCATTTTAAGTTGGGTCACTGAAAATCTGAAAAAATGTTAAAAATCTAAAATCGTCAGTACATATGATTTTGGCCTACCCTTTAGCTGGGAAGGATTTGTGCTGTTTGGACGTCTCTGTGAGAAGTTATGAATATCGAGTTTACTATGGAAAACGCCAAAATTAATCAATTTGTCAATTTTCACGAAAATCATAACTTCTCACAGGGACGTCCAAACAGCACAATTTTTTAAAGTTGCAAAGAGTAGGCTAAAAAACATATGTACTGACTATTTCAGATTTTTTTGAGCGTTCCAGATTTTTGTTGAGCTAACTTAAAATGGTCAAAGCTTATACGGTCTTAGTTTTCCATTTTTATCTCCGCAACAGTACGGAACAGAAGCTCCACTGAATAGCATTTGAAAGCGAAAGACTTATTCTTTTTAATGAAATTACAGGCGAGCAAATCTACTGAAATCTCGCGAGTTACAAACTTTTGAAACTGAAACGACAGAACTTTCGGTTTAGCCCAATATTTATAGAGTGCCTTTGACTGTTCTCCAAAAAGTGCCTCTCGCGGTTGGCCAAATATCTTTTGATGTGACAAATAAAATGTTTGCAAACTTTTTTGCCGAGTTTGTTGCTCAAAGGATTGTAAAAGCGAGAAAAGTTTAGTTTCTTGGTTGGTCAAACTCTGGGTATGAACGGAGTATCTTATTTGCAAAGTTTCAAAGCAAAAAAGCTCTGTCACTTTTTAAAGAGATGACAATCGTGGAGGGAAAAGCAGATGTCAGGAAGATGGTCTGCAAAGAGAAAAATCGACATTAAGATTACCTAGAATAATAGTCGGAGCAGGAGTAGAACAGATCATGGAAAGCAAAGTGACGTCATCGCGAGAACGGAGGACGAAGGACCATAAAGGGTAACAAACCGCAAAGGAGAGAGAGAAAGTTGGCAAGACATTAAAGTAGAACTGGAACTTGGCACATGTGACGGGTACACAAAGATTTTTCAAGCGTCAAACAAGATATCTATCAAAAAGCTCAAGTTATTGCATAGAATTAGTGGGAGGATAGTTAGAGCTCTCAAATAACAGGGAAACAGGCGCTATTAGGAGAGCAGTGACTCCAGAAGGATGTTGAGTCATCCAAGAAAAGTAACGCTCACTTTTTTGAACTTACAAGGAAAGGATACTTTGTGACCGTAGCCTTTTGAAATGAAAAGTACACCATTAAATGCATATTGAAGCGCTGATTCCAAATCTCTTTTGATTGTCTGCTGTTCGCTCTTCCGAAAGAAGATGTGAGCATTTTTTGTCACCAAAATTTGCATTGTTTTTGATGTAGGATTCACCAATATCGTTAAAATGTTTGCCTACGCACCACAACAGAGACGTACAGATAAAGTAAATCATGTTATGCCCAAGAAAACTGTCACCGATACATCAGAATCTAAAAAGCCCAGATAATGACGATTTTGTCTGCCTAAATCTCGCAAAAATAATATAGAAAAAAAAGTCCATAACTTCGTTCAGGGAGTCGTACAGCAGATATTGAACATAGATTTAGAATCAGCGTTCCAAGACGCACCTACTAGTATGCATCTCGCTGCAAAAGGCCACGGTCACCAAGTATCCTTCCCTCGTTAGCTGAATTGAATGTGTAGCAGAAATCTCACAAGTTGTGATTGACTTAACAAAAAATTTGACTCAAGATATTGCACTTTTAGTGAAAGAGCTTTTGAGGTGTTCGCAGAATAAATCATGTTCGTACAATAAATCAATGAATCATCATAAATAATAAATCGCATTGACCGCACGACATTTAAAAGATTGATATCAGTTTTCGTTCTTCTGTAGCATATACCGCTTTCGGCTCTGCTTTTCGCGTAGTACATGTTTTTCCAAAAAGTCCCGAAACTTCCAAAGTACAACACCACCCACAGAATGTGCGGAATTTCCGTGAATGTTGCGGAATTTCGGGTATTTTGCGGAAGTCCGCGACATTCCCAAAACTCCGCGACATTCCGGGAGTTTTCAATTCCGGAGAATGTCGGCGAATTAAACAATGCCGGCGAAAAACGCAATGTCACGACTACGCCGACATTGCCGAGAATTTTCACATTCCAAAGTCATAAGTGTTTGATTGCATGTATGATGCAAATCTTCAAATTTTTTCTCATATGGATCATTCAATGTACTGACAACATCTTTCAAATTGTTTTGCTGCTGGTGGCTCAATATAGGGATAAGAATTTGTCGGAATACACTATTCTGAAATTTGGGAGAAAATTTATGAGAATATGAATTTGTAACCTCAAAATCTGACGAACGTGCAGATAGGGGCTTGTGCTAATCACATCCCTATGGCGTTCTTTACAGAGATTCTAATTTAGAAAAAAAGGCAGTTTTCTGATAGAAGAGCGAGAAGTGCAAACAAATTTTCAACCTTGCGTGGTTTGAGTAAATTTTTTCCATTTGAAACTTCACTGTAAAATTCTTTAGCGCGAAATGACTAGAATTTTCGTGAACAATGGGTTTGGAAATTACTGTGAATAAGTTTTGGGTCAATCCAAGATTACCAATATTTTAGCCAAAACCGGTGGCGATGTCAAGAGAGGAAATCGAAAATGGGGATTTTCTTAGAAAAATTGAGCATAGAGATTATCGGACCTGCTGACCACAAAAAACACATCTGTTACCCATGATAGCTTCTTTCTGTAGGGTCAACGGTGGCTAAATTTCAGTTAGATAGTGATTCTAACAAAGTTTGCTAACTATTTTCGCCTTTACTACAAAATATATTTTGCACCGTGTTTAGCGGCTAAAACTCGCGAAACTGCTGTATCGAATGATGTCTATTATAGCTCTCTATTTACATTAAGTCTTGGATTACGCTCTAACAAAAACCCGTTTGCAGAACATAATTAAGGACCTCAAATTAAAACTAAATAATTTTACACCGTACTTCTACGATATCCAGTAAGAGAATGACTAGCATCGAATTAATATGAACGCTATCAAAACCCTATTAGTACATCTAGCAGATTTTAGCTATCGCTCTGTTGGTTTTTCTCCCTCCGAAGGAAATAAAAGTGAATCAAA